TATCAGCCTCCTGTACCTGACCAAATCTAATATAATCTACATTCAACAATATATCTTGGATCAGTCGCTCCACAACATTGTATAGCTTGGCTCATCTACTTCCTATAGCGTCACCTGCCACTTAGATTAGGATAATTTGGTTATATAATATTTCAGAGTAAAAATATGTTTTTTCCATGTTCTACATTCAGCACCTACATAATAGTGAGTAAATATATTACATTTCTTCATTACTTACATAATGATAGGAAGCTTTGGATAATTAGACGGACCGAATGAGAGAGAGAACAGGAAGGGATAATAACTAATAAGATGATGGAATTCGTAGCAAAGAAACTTGCAATGCAACACGGCTGTTGCTCCGACTCCTGAAGGAGGTGGAGGAGGCAAGCAGAGTCAATCTCTGGTTCAACAGACAGTGCAGAGCAGCAAAGGAGAGGACCAGAAACGTGTGGACAATGTATGGAGAACTAGGAACGGAAGACAACAGAGATGTTTGGCCAGCCACTTGGGCTGGACGGTAGAGCTAGACGGACTAGCCCTCACCCACCCTGACAGGCAAGTACTGATAGGAGAGTACTACCAGTTTTTACAGCAATAATTAAAATACTTGTTTAGCTCGTGATGTGGTCATGAGCGTAGCTTTCTTGAACCATGCCTCGGATGCCGCCGCGGGCGGTGACCTCTCAACCCAGTTTCTGACCTCTAGCATCTCCTGGCCTTGCTTTTGTGACCCTCTGCGGAATATCCTGGTATTATCCTGGGGACGGGCGGGAGAGGGGGGGAAGGGGGGCAGACGGCAGGTTCGTGACCCGACGCGCCAAGAGATTTGTTGTGTGTGTGTGTGTGTGTGTGTGTGTGGAGGATTGGAGGGCGTCCGGTGCAGCCAGCGTGGTGCGGGTGCTCCCCCCACCCCCTAACCCACCTCACTCACCTCCCACGCAATACTCGTCTTCAAATACACACACACTAGTAGTAGATGAACCGCCCACGCTCCTGTCTCCCGAACACCAGTTTGTGTGCGTTCAATAAATTAACTTAGTCGTGTTCTGGAAGCGTTCTCATGTTGACATTAATCCCCTGTGGATGCAGTTCAAGCATGTTTATTGAGACAATAAAATCTCGAAGGGATAGAGTAGTTTAGGCTATTTCTACCCTCCTTAAGATGAACTCTCTCTCATCACCAATGCTCATAGTAATGAGGTTTGCTTTCGTTTCCGATTTAATTGTCATTGACCTTCCTAGTCTCAGCATTGCGTACTAAGCTCCCAGGAACTGAAGTTACATCTGAATAACGAATATACGAACGGTTAAGGAGGCGCTGAGCGGCCCCACGGATGTCTACCCTCAGTAGAGGTAACCCAGTGGTCCCAGCCGGTAAATAGTCCAGTGCTCTATACATGTGGCTCCATACACGTGGCTCCATACACGTGGCTCCACACATGTGGCGTGTGAGCGCATTACCACAGGACGTAAGGAAACGCGCCGGTGCAGAGTCCTGTGCTTCACCAGGATATTTAGAAGTAAACATTAAGTATTTTGTCAACCACATTATCGCGGAAATAAACATTTCACTCACTTGGGCACTAGGAGACTCGAACTCTCGACCCCCACTAGCGTGACGCAAAAGCTCTACCTCTATTGGAGCCGTGTGTGTGGTGCAGAGGTGGCGCTTTTGCCTCACGCTCGTGTGGTCGAGAGTTAAGCGTCTCCTTGTGTCCAAGTGAATGAAATTGTCAACGTAACTTGTTCCATGTAGTGCGTCAGTGTACCGTGCTGTAGTGCGTCAGTGTACCGTGCTGTAGTGCGTCAGTGTATCGTGGTGCAGTGCGTCAGTGTACCGTGCTGTAGTGCGTCAGTGTATCGTGGTGCAGTGCGTCAGTGTACCGTGCTGTAGTGCGTCAGTGTACCGTGCTGTAGTGCGTCAGTGTACCGTGGTGCAGTGCGTCAGTGTACCGTGCTGTAGTGCGTCAGTGTATCGTGGTGCAGTGCGTCAGTGTACCGTGGTGTAGTGCGTCAGTGTACCGTGCTGTAGTGCGTCAGTGTACCGTGCTGTAGTGCGTCAGTGTACCGTGGTGCAGTGCGTCAGTGTACCGTGCTGTAGTGCGTCAGTGTACCGTGGTGCAGTGCGTCAGTGTACCGTGCTGTAGTGCGTCAGTGTACCGTGCTGTAGTGCGTCAGTGTACCGTGCTGTAGTGCGTCAGTGTACCGTGCTGTAGTGCGTTAGTGTACCGTGGTGCAGTGCGTCAGTGTACCGTGGTGCAGTGCGTCAGTGTACCGTGCTGTAGTGCGTCAGTGTACCGTGGTGCAGTGCGTCAGTGTACCGTGCTGTAGTGCGTCAGTGTACCGTGCTGTAGTGCGTCAGTGTACCGTGCTGTAGTGCGTCAGTGTACCGTGCTGTAGTGCGTCAGTGTACCGTGGTGCAGTGCGTCAGTGTACCGTGCTGTAGTGCGTCAGTGTACCGTGCTGTAGTGCGTCAGTGTATCGTGGTGTAGTGCGTCAGTGTACCGTGCTGTAGTGCGTCAGTGTACCGTGCTGTAGTGCGTCAGTGTATCGTGGTGTAGTGCGTCAGTGTACCGTGCTGTAGTGCGTCAGTGTACCGTGCTGCATGTGGTGGTGGTGGTGGTGGTGAGTGTGTAGCGGCCCGGCCCACCTTGCCAACACTGGGCTGGTGGGTGGTGCCATCTGACTTAAAAGGGTGTGGGCGTGAGGGGTTTGTGAGGTCTTCCCGAGAGGGCGGGCTTGGGTGGCCTGGGCTTGTGTGGGGTTGGGCGGGCTTGTGTGGGCTTGGGTGGGATATGTGGGCTAGGTTGAAGCGCCGACTCCCAACCTGCAAGACGAACCACAGAGTATGACAGCACGGAGAAAGAGCCAAGCTGTTCTCCCGCTGACAAACTGGACTGGACTTGCTCAGGGGCGCAGAAATCACTAGAGAGGGGTGTGTGTGATATTGGTGCTGTTGTTGGATGGTTACGAGAAGCCGAGACACACGTGCAACCTCTGGTAATGATAGGAGCCAGTTGCTACAACCTTCCCCCTCCACACACACACACACACACACACACACACACACACACACACACAAACACGCGTGATACACCATAGTCAGTTGGTACAGATCTGATGATGATCTGTTCTGCTCAGTCAACAATTTGTAAGTGTTGGCAAGGCAGAGGCGACACCCGGGCTGGACTAGCGGCTTCACCACAAGAAACAGACGTGTATACAACTAGTACAGAGTCTTAAATGTTGGTGATGGCCGGCGCCGCCAGAGTGCGGCCTCCCCAACCGCTCCCACGCTGCCTTCCGCACTTCATTTGCATCCCGGAATGGAAAGAGGAGCGTTACGGCGGAGGTGGCACCTGCAGCCGCGCTGGCCAGCCTTCCTCGCTCAGGTCGCCCTCTCCCCCAGCTTCCGGAGCAGGCTAATAAGGCCATGTGGGGTGGATCTCACCTGCACGGCCAGTTGAACCAGGACGCGTCTGCGCACCACCGCCGCCGCCGCCAGCTACACTCCCCGCACCATCACCACCACCACCACCCTCATGCTGCACTTGCTGGCCCTCTCAGACCCGCCCTCACCCCCAGGACCTGCTCCTGCGTCAGGCCCCTCATGCTGGGGCGGCCTCCTGCATCACACACACACACACACACACGGGATCCAAGAGTCAATGTTCGATCCTGCAAGCACAAATAGGTGAGTACACACACACACCTCACAGCCAAGTACACAGCGCTCTGGGGTCGAAAACCTAAGGGCCCGGGTTCGATTCCTAGCCGAGGCAGAAACAAATGGGCAGAATTTCTTTTACCGGATGTACCTCTTCACCTAGCAGTAAATGTGTACCTGGGAGTTGGACAGCTGCTACGGGCTGTGTGTGATAAAGAAATATGTCAAAATATTGATAAACGAAAAAATGTTAAGAGTCAGTAAATTAGACAACCGACGGTTAGAAAAGTGGGATCAAAGATCTAAGAGGTGGATCCAGTAGGCAGAAACAGTAAAGACGGTTCAGTTGCTATACCTATAGAGAAACAAGACCGGGCAACGATCTCCCAGAGATAATGGACTCATTCTTCTCGATGTTTTCTGGTGATGTGAAAATTATGATGAGGGATTAAGACGGGAAGCCGGCAAGACGCTACAAGACCACCTGACAAACTGAAAGAATCGCCCAACAAATGGCTACAAGAGTTTAGCTCGAGTAAATGTAAAGTAATGAAGCTAGGTGGAGGGAGCAGGAGCCCAGACACAAGGTATTAAATTGTACAAGGACTAGGAGTCGATATCACACCGAACCTGCGTCCTGAAGGTCATACCAAAAGGGTATCATCAGCGTCGTATGCGAGGCTGGCTAGCATCAGAGCGGCCTTTATTAATTTTCGTAAGGGAGCATTCAGAATCGTATACCACATGTCAGACCAATCCTGGAGTATGCAGCTTCAGCAAGGACTCCATAATTAGTCAAGCAGAGGATGAATTTGGATAAAGTTCAAAGGTATGCCACTACAATAGTTCCAGAACTACGAGGTTTGAGTTAAGAGGAAAGGATAGGTGAATTGAGCCTCACATCGCTGGAAGAGAGAAGAGTCAGGAGAGAGACATGACTACAACACACAAAATCCTCAGGAGAATTGATAGGGTGTAGATAGAGACAGTTGAACCCTTGGCCTTATGATCATTCTCTTAAGGTGGATTATATTATCAAAGACCAAGACACAATCATCACTAGCTCCTAGTTGTATTTCATACTCCAAGTTCTCGATGTTTTCCTCATTCTGGGTGAAGATCAGGTCCTGTGTGTGCGTGTGTGTGCGTGTGTGTGCGTGTGTGTGCGTGTGTGTGCGTGTGTGTCGTGTGTGTGCGGTGTGTGTGTGTGTGTGTGTGTGTGTGTGTGTGTGTGTGTGTGTGTGTGTGTGTGTGGTGTGTGTGTGTGTGTGTGTGTGTGTGTGTGTGTGATGTTGAAGAACATATGAACAGAGCCAACATTGACACTCACCTTGGACCACCTTGCGTAGCGACGGCGTCTCCTCAGGGCGAGGGGCGTCCCTGTGGGCGGGGCTGATGGGCGTGGCGGGCAAGAGTGGGCGTGGCATAGACCCAGATTCCCGCGCCCTCTGTTGGTTGAGGTGGGCGGTAGCCACGCTGTACGGGGGCGGCAGATGGCGTTCAGAGTAGGCAGGGGGCAGGTCCCGGTGGGCGTGGTGCGGCTGCAGGTGGGCGGGTTCTGCGGGCGGGAGGTCGTGGGCGGAGAGATAACGGGGCGGCCCACAGGTGATGACTGTGGGGCGGGCGCGGGCGGGGGCAGGCAGGTAGGTGGGGCGGGGGTGGTATGGGGGCGGGGAAGGGGAGTTGGAGGTGGGGATGTGGTGGGGAGGGCGGCGGGCGGGTTGGGGTGAGCGACGCTTGGTACTCATGTCCAGGGGGACATCGTCGTCCATGTGGGCGTAGTAGGCGTGGGCGTAGAGGGGCGCCGGGGGCGGGGAGTCCACCACGTTGATCTCGTCCTCGCTCGAGCACCCACGTTCAGGACTGTGGGAGAGAACACGCCCATGATAACACTCACAATACACAACCAGCAGGAACAACACGACACAAGAGCTGAAGCTCAACCTCCCCGTCAAGCACAACTTAGGCGAGTACACAAGAAGTCATCATATGTTACTTATACTAGAGACGTACAGCAATAAGGTCAACCAGCCTTTATGGAGCGGTCACCAGTGGACCCCATAAGGGATATACTCCACCCGATAATATTATCACTTTAAAATAAATGGAAACCATATACATACACGAGACTGTCAACACAACCTCGGGGGGGGAAGTTTAACTCAAGACCTCTGACATCAACACGCGGGAAACACTCACAGCTCAACACGGGCAGTGTTGTATCCGCATACAACAGCCAGTGTTGTATCATCATACAACACCCTACATCACACAGGTGTCGGCGTTAATTACATGAGTGTCACACCTAAGCCGACCTAAGCTTACTGTTCTCTTCCTCCGTCTTGTATGTGTATAACTCCTGAGGTATTACGGGCGTGGGATGTTGTGCTGGCTGTGAAAGGAACACATACAATAGTACACTTTTATGTACAGCAAAAATACAATTTGCTGTAGGATTTACGAAGGTTCTTGACACTCCAGGGGGCCTCGCTGGTCCCGAAGGTGTTATCGTTCATATGCAATTGAGACACTCATTGTGGTGTGGTGACGAGGTCACATGTGTGAGACGGCCTCCTGGGCGGGGTCACGGGGTCAAGGTCACCGCCAATATGAGCAGTGCTTGCAGTCGTGGAGGAGAGGAGAGCCCCACTCCCAGTACACGGGGAGGGGCCCCCAGTACACGGGGAGGGGCCCCCAGTACACGGGGAGGGGACCCAGTACACGGGGAGGGGCCCCCAGTACACGGGGGAGGGGCCCGTGTAACAAGTCACTGACCTACTTGTCAGGGGGGAGGGGAGCCGTGAACCATCGCCCCCCCCCCTCCACGGCTGAGGATGTCCCCCCCCCTCCCTCACACACACTCCCCCTCCTCCTTGTCTTTCTCCTCCCTGCCCCTAACTAAGCTACATGCTACTACTAAACACACACACACATATATATATATATATATATATATATATATATATATATATATATATATGATATATATATCCCAGCTATATATATATGTATATCCATACACACTAGCAGCCAGGGCTTACTTCATATATCCATTAATATATCAAGGCTGACAAGTAGATCCCAGCTAAGGTATTGGTACTGTCGTCTCCAGCACGGGGTACAGGCTCCGTGCAGCCAGGGCTCCGTACCCTCCCAGGTCACGAGGCTCCATGAACCCTCCCAGGTCAGAGACGGGGTACTAGGCTCCGTGAACCCCTCCCAGGTCAGAGACGGGGTTCTCGGCTTACTACGGAACAACTGACTTCTCAGTTGGGAGGCGCAGAGCCCAGATGAGATGAGGGCTGGATGCTGGGATGTGATGGCTGACTAAGTGGTCCTGGTCGGCAGCCTCTCACCCGCCTGCATAATTACACATTGTTTCGTGCTTGTGACACTTGATGGTAACTCTTAGGGGCTTCAGGTTTATCCATACATGTGAACCTAAACACCCTTGAGCGTGTGCACGTACACACACACACACACACACACACACACACACACACACACACACACACACACACACACACACACACACACACACACACACACACACACACAGTTGTAGACAGTTGGAACAAGTTAAGTGAGAAGGTGGTAGAGGCCAAAACCATTCGTAGTTTCAAAGCGTTATATGACAAAGAGTGCTGGGAAGACGGGACACCACGAGCGTAGCTCTCATCCTGTAACTACACTTAGGTAATTACACTTGGGTAATTACCTGCAGCTACCCACACATCCACCTTGAACACAAGTGCCACTAAAGTCATGTAATTCGCAGAGACAGAGGCTGGCCTTGCAACACTAACCACAGGTATCTCTTGCACGGAGGTCAATACCAAAGGTATCTCTTGCACGAAGGTCACTACCAAAGGTATCTGCAGGGGAACACTGAACACTGCAGATCCTGTCTGGGTGAACACAGACATACACAGAGATTCTAACACCCGGCTGACTTATACACAGAGATTCTAACACCCGGCTGACTTATACACAGAGATTCTAACACCCGGCTGACTTATACACAGAGATTCTAACACCCGGCTGACTTATACACAGAGATTCTAACACCCGGCTGACTTATACACACACCATAAGAAATAACGAGTATCACCTGTAAATTGCTAGAGGGACTGGTCCAAAGCAGGGGCTAGATTCACGAAGCAGTTACGCAAACACTTACGAACCTGTACATCTTATCTCAATCTTTGGCGGCTTTCTTTACAATTATTAAACAGTTAATGAGCTCCGAAGCACCAGGAAGCTGTTTATTACAATAACAACAGTTGATTGGCAAGTTTTCATGCTTGTAAACTGTGTAACCAAAGCCGTCAAAGATTGAGGAAAGATGTTCCCATTCGGAAGTACTTGCGTAACTGCTTCCTGAATCTGGCCCCAGGTGAGGTCGGTGTTTTCTATGAAGCTTTTCAAGGTAAACTAAAATATTCACAATCAATTAGTATGTCACATATGCACTAAGTAAATAAGCCAATATTGACAGTAAACAAGTGCGAGAACGGGTTGGGTTCGTACCCCACCTGGAACAAGTGTATTTAGTCTCTAAACGCATTCGAATGCTACACTATGGCAGAAATCAAGAGAAAGTATATTCCTAGATTGTCATGGAGTATTTGATATTGTTCCACACAAGATATTCCTACTCAAGCAAGAAAAGCCAGCTGCGGTATCCGCAGGAGTGGTAGAGTAACCATTGACTTCCTTTCACTCGGGAAGGAAGCAAATGGTGACACTGTGAGTGGAAATAAGAAAGTGGAGAGAGTGAGAACGAATGGCGATGCAGAGTGGTCAGTGGTTAGGAGCCATCCTGTTTCTATTATATGTCGAGGCCTGGCGGAGGCTCCCTCATGTTAATGCTTGCAGATGACACAATGGGCTAATGTGAGGGGGAGAGACGTCCCAGTGAGGGAGGGAGACGTCCCAGTGGGGGGGGGGGAGAAGACCCAGTGAGGGGGGGAGAGACGTCCCAGTGAGGGGGGGAGAGAGACGACGTCCCAGTGAGGGGGGGAGAGACGTCCCAGTGAGGGGGGGGGGAGAGACGTGACAGTGACAGACGTCTCCTCCACACCTAAGTAGACACAATAGACAAGACATGATAAGGACACTTTTCCTCGGGAAATAGACAACGTCAACTGAGAAAGGAGGCGTGTTTAACACTCCCCAGCCAGCACACGCACCGTAAATCTGGGCACAGATGAGTCACGGGGATGTCAGGAATGTGTTTATGGTGAAGATGGCGAGGTTATCAGGTGAAGTAGTGAGAGGGGGAGATAGCAGGCGCTACTGCTCCAGCCTCAACACTCTAGTATCATTACACACACACACACACACACACACACGCGCACACACACACACACACACACACACACACACACACACACACACACACACACACACACACACACACACACACACACACACACACACACACACACACAGTCAGCTACACTTGATCTGACAATCTAGTTACCGCTGTCTCTCTCTCTCTCGCGTTATCTCCCCACTTGACCAGTCTCTAAGATGTGACTCACCGCTCCTCACTCCCCCCCCACCCCCCCATCTCCATGGCAACCCTTCCTATGCCCTCCTCTCAAGGCTCAACTGATGTTTCCTTCTGTAAACACCCCGATAGACAGATAAGTTGTCTTAATGATCTAAATTAGATTCTTCTGTATATGAAGGCTGACTTGACGAGTTAACACACTATTATACTCAAGAGTAGTATAGCTTACACACACACACACACACACACACACACACACACACATTTCAGATATTAGAATGAACTTTTTTAGTGTCAGAGTGGTTGACAAATGGAATGCATTAGGGGGTGATGTGGTGGAGGCTCACTCCATACACAGTTTCAAGTGTAGATATGACAGAGCCCGATAGGCTCAGGAATCTGTACACCTGTTGATTGACGGTTGAGAGGCGGGACCAAAGAGCCAGAGCTCAACCCCCGCAAACACAACTAGGTGAGTACAACTAGGTGAGTACACACGTAAAAAGGAAAAAGATACAAAGGCACGCTACATGATGACTCCCGGAACTGAAAAGCAAGAGTTACGAGGAGAGACTAAGAAGTGTTATACATGCCAAAGCTAGAAGACAGAAGAATAAGAGGCGATATGATCACTACTTACAAAATACTAACGGGAATTGACTAAATTGACAAAGAGGAATTACTAAACCTGCACACAGAAATCACAATAGCGTATGCATCAAATGAACAAATCGAAATGAATCCTCGTCACGGCCCTTGTGGATTTGTTTCTAAACCTGGCCTGACGAAACTATTGGATAAGTCATATAGACCTAAGGGTAAAAAGCAGTTAAGGAGCTATAATAATGAGGAGATACACAAAATGGAGATCAAGAGATCTCCATTTGATTTGAAAGAGATCAAAATGGAGATCACACACAAACTCAAACCAAAATGGACATCAGCTACGAGGGGCGACAAATGGTCATAAAAGAGAGAAAAAGATGGGAACTGGGGAGAAGGTAGACGAAGAAGAGACGGAGCTGAGGGAAGCGAGGCAGCAGCACCAGACCAACACTGTCTAGGGTCTCTAACACATCGCTAAGGAGCGCCATGACATCGCGAATGTAGTCTTGTATGGGAGAGACGAGTGGCTCTGAGCCTTGGTGAGCTTGAGCCCAGTGTGGCTGGCGTGCACCACACGAGGAGGGATGCACATAGTTATCAGAAGCCACGGGTGGAGTGGACACACTTTGTAACCAAGATTAGACGAGGCTCGGTAATTGTACATCGCTCTGTCAACAATTGGGTAACTAGCTTCACAAGACTTGTCACTTGCTTAGCTAAACGAACTATCGGGTTCAGT